AATATATTTTTTGTAGAGAATTTTACGGCACATCTTTTAAGAAAACAACAAAGCTTAGGGGATACAATTCAACTAAGATATGAGCAAAATATTAAGTGACCGATTTATTCTGGAACACCCGTTATTCAGAGCGAAAGTAACATATCCTTTTGTCCAGTACCAGATTGTTAGCTGAAAACACTGAGCTCTCATCCACTCGAGTGCATATATACCTTTGGCTTCGAGAATAGTTTTCGTGATCAACTTCACTTGGAAACTTTCCAAGTGAAGTTGATCAACGTTGTCTGATGATGTGACATCATCAGACAACGTTCGCGAGGTTTAAAGATGTTTCGTTTTGTATAAAATTATCGTTATTTAAGTATAAAGCGCAAGAACTGTACTCTGTCCCTGAAGCATCCAAGCGAAATAAAGAAAATGAAGATATTCAATCCATTTTCAACTCTATTCGTCTTCTACACTCTAAACAATAATGCGTCTTATATTGTCTACTTCAAAATGCATCCTGTAAGTGTCTTTAACGTGTCTTGCAAGAAAATGTGTGCACAACAACAAGTAATTGAAGACTCTTTTGAGACACTCTGTAACCACTTTCAACAGTAAGGTGCTTCAAAACAAAAATTTTACAAAGAAACGGAAATTGTCTTTTTCGTATTACAGTCCGAAGACTAGCATAAGGCAGTACCTGCAACGGAAAAAAAAGTGCGCTGTGGTACCATTATTACAAACCATACATTTCAGAATATGAACTGGCGACCTCCAGGAAGTCATTCAAATATCTTCGATAGGAGCACTCTTCTACACTAAAGCCTACTACACTAAGAGGTTCTTCTGTTTAGAACGAACTGTCTCATTCTGGTCAATGCATGGGTAAACTGAATTTCAGAAGAGGGCACCAAGCTCGAAGTTCAGTTTTTGACTCTTAGAGTATTCTGAATCACACGCTAATCTTCAGACGTTGTACCACTTATTATTAGTATTATCGTGTCAATGTAAAGCTACACACGTTTACCAAGTTTTATCAGCCTGTATAAAAAATATCTTAACGAAAAGTTTCTTCAGAACTAACATTTGCGTTTTTTTAACTCTACAAGTCTAAAATAAGAACTAGACCGAATAAGAATAGCTCTGTGATGTAGGTCCGGTGGTGTAATGGTTAATATAAACGTCTTCCAAACATACGGTACTGAGTTCAAATCTCACCTGGACCGATATTTCCGTCTTATTGTAAGTCACTTTTATGCGCCTTATAGTAAGACACACAAGTACGATTAGAAAAAGATGCTTTAATGTGCCTTACTGAAAGACACATTGAAGTGTCTATCCTCATAAGACACACATAGTGTCTTCCGGTAAGGCGCATTAAAGCATCTTTTTCTAATCCGACTTGTGTGTCTTACTATAAGTCGCATTTTTTTTAGAGTGTACGGGCTTCTATTTAGGATGGAATGCAGCAATTAAAATGTGAACAGTTGCTGTACTTGACTTCTGGCGATTACTGGTCTACTATACCGTTACGTATGAGAAATTTTATTAGATTACTAACATCAAATAAATGTGACGTTTTTTGTTTATGTTTGAGCAATACTGATTCATTAACAGTCAATCTATTGGAGAAAAGAAAACGTTATTGAGTGCTAATTTTGCTATGATTGTCGACACCAAATGGAGACCAGTTCATTTTGTCCTCCAGTAAATGAAGATCCAAGTGGGCAAGATAGTGCAAACATTGATGGTCAAATGACGACATCTTCAGTTTTGAATTCTCAGTGTCAAAAGGAACGTGTACTTGTGTGTGACAAGAAATTACACTAACTGTGTAAAAGTGAATTGATTTTTCTTTTAAAATGATTTCAGTTTTCATTATTACCTGGATCCTCCTATTCTCTTTTCTGCATCATTAAATACAGCACTTTTTCTTACGGCCTGTGTTATATAGAATTCAACATAATTTAGCTCGGACAACTTGCTTAACTTAGGCAGCTGTTTTCGAGCGAGTTTATGTCGAATTTTTCAGAATCGTCATCATACATGCATGAACCGATATCTGCTTTATTTTCACTTCAAACTTACCGCAGATTGCTGTTTCGCAATGACTATGCCTTTATATTTACTTCTTTCACATTTCAGGTTAAAGAGAAGGGAAATAACCGAGATTTGTTCTCAAAAGTGTTTATACTTTTTCGAGAGTTACCAGTTTTTGAGCGATGCTTAATCATGCAACCGAACATCTCTTAAATTGTAATAAAACTATGGAAAAACTCTTTATAAAACTTATAACAAAAGGCTTGTCATAACTCATAACGCAGCTTCTTACGTTGATTTTGAACATACGGTTCTTTTTGAGGAAGTTTCCGTAATAAAGTGAAAATAGAAAATTATTGATAAATTTCATAAAAATCACGATATTAGTGTTCACCGTCGTTTCCCATTCTAAAAACGATGACATCTATGACGTGCATGTTCAAAACTAAAGTTTTAGTGCTCACCCATGCTTAAAACTGTCAGGATTACAAAATGTCATACTATAACAAAAGTTTTCTCTGATTTTTCAGTTAGTTTTATGTAAAATTTAAACGAATAACATGATTTTTCTGGAAGCTGAAAACTTTTAAGAATTCACTTTTCCACACGAACTTTTGAGTTGTAAAACGAAAGATCTAGTTTGAAAATTAGGACTTTTCCATCTGTTTTCGCCTAATATTAAAAAATTCACTCAAAAAGCAGTAGAAAGAGTTCACAATTCCAGGATGTGGTTAATTCATTTACCTGCTAGACGTGATTATAACATCGAAAAAATTGAAAGGATACAGCTTTTGTTGAGAAGGTTTCCAAGCGCCCTTTCGGAAAACCAATGGTTCTGTACATTTCTTATCAACAGAATATAAGATAATCTAAATATTGTTCTGAGACTCAAATGGCTCTTCAAAAGAACTCCTCGAAACCTATTTTAAGAAACCTTCCTGGTAATGGACACATGTTCCAGTTTTTCTCTTTTGTACGGTGAGGACCACAAGTCTCAATCTTATTCCTAAAAAACCACTAGCGCTCTTATCATCAAAACGTGGAAAATATTGAAAGAGCTATTGAAATCAAATAGCTTGTCAGAATTCACGCTGATAAAGAATATATTACATTTTGTTTTCTTTGAAAGTAATGATCAAAACAAAGGAAGTTTAAAATTAACATTACAGATAGTTATTTGCTTCAGCCGACGATTTATGTTACAATTCTATTCTCTATTCACACAGAAGATAGATACTGCAAACTTATTTTCTTTTTGACATTGATAGTAGTCATAGATAGTCATTTGACTTAGACTATCTCATTTATATTCAGTCCAAATTTGTTGTTATCGCGACAGCAGATATATATCAAGTATATATCAAGCTCATATAGAAAGAAGAATTTTTTTGTTAAATATTATCATACTTCTGCTCATACAACTGTTTGAAATGTTCAATATTCTCATTAGTTTTTCTCTATTAACATATATTGCTATCGGAAAATACACAAGTTTAGACGAATGTCCATTGCCTAAACAGTTGAAAACAAATTATGATTTTGATTATACACAGCAACGAGGTGAAGAACAAAATTCAGAGAGTGGAACATATTTTTTTCGTTTGGCTCTCTCCTGGTCACCATCATTCTGTGAAGGTATATTAAATGAACAACGTCGAAAAGATTTATTTCAATGTCAACATAATTTTGGTTTGATTGTACACGGTTTATGGCCTCAGGCACGAAATGCCGGTAATAAAGTGAGTCGTCATCCCCGAAATTGCCGAAATGACCCACAAATTGATCCGAAAACAATACAAGAATACTTTTGTATGATGCCATCGGAAACATTGATGCAAGCCGAATATGAGAAACACGGTAGTTGCTATTGGTCATCGGCAGAACACTATTTTCATCGAGCAAAAACATTGTTTCAAAACTTGCGACAGCCAGAAAATATGGAACAATTAGCGAATCCTGCAGGTGCGACTAAGGCTATAATTAAACAAGCGTTTATGAGTATCAATCCGGGCTTAAAACAACAAGACATCGTTGTTCAAGTGGTGAGAAAAACGAAAAAACTCAAAGAAATAGTTGTGTGCTACGATCTTGAATATAACTATACTAATTGCAATCAATAACGTTTTTTTTCTTATATTTTTAATTAAAGAGCACTTAAACTACTTTATCATTAAATGGTATCGGTTGGTTTGTTTCACAAAAATTTTGGTGACTTGCGGTTTTTATCAATTACGAGCCAGACTAGCTGTTGATATTACGAATAAGAACACCTTCTCACTTTTGTGACTACTTGGTATTCGAACAGCCATAAATGAAATTTTCATTATCTGTTCACAGTAGCGAAAATGTGAGATTAGTTAAAATATTCCTTCGATAAAGTTGTATGTATAACATTTTGAGAGGTTATGGACAAGGTTAAGAATCAGAATTGAAGAATAATTACGGCTACTATGTTAAGAATTTTAATATAAGTTTTAATAAAACATTTTAAAACTAAAACCTATGATTAAAATTACAATTCAATATTTCGACCTATTGGTACGGTCATTTTCAAATATCTCTTCGTACAGGATGTTACGAACTTGAAATTGACCGTATCAATAGGTCGAAATATCGAATTGTAATTTTAATCGTTAGCTTTAGTTTTAAAATTTTTATTTTTATTAAAATTCTTAATATAATAGCTGCAATTATTCTTAAAGTTGTATCTGTTTTGGTGAGTATAATATTAGTCACTTGGGTACGATACTTCTGCAAGAAAGATGAATAAAACCAGTACAGAAACTTTGTTTAGTTCACAATTTATACACGCAATTTTGTTCAATATATTTAATAAATTATTATTTGAAAATTTAACGACCATGTTGGTCTTGTTGACATTTTTTTAATATAATGTACAAAGATGGATGCGCATGCAAAGAAGGCACAGTTTATCATTTCATATAGAGTGGCAGACAGAGGTCTGCATCTGACTTTCTCCGGTACAAATAGATACATTTTAGAGGAGCTGTCATAAAAACAATATCGATTAGGGATTAAATCAAACAACATTTCAACATGTTAATTTCGAAAAATATGTATTATTTGCTAAGTTCGCACAAGCACATTATTTTAAAACGCTTTTATTTTCGAAAATATTTCTGTTCATTGATTTGTGACAAAGCTGAAACTTTTATCTTCGACAAAGCTGAGTTGATTTGTGAGTGATAAGGAATTCTCGTTTCATAATTTATTCATACAGTTTGATCTTTGTTGTAGATTATGCGATGTAAACTTACAAAAACTTCATCATACTAGCGATATGAGGTAGAGACAAAGAACCATAACCGGGCATTGCTACTCTGCTTTCTACTTAAAGATCTTGGCTTATGAAGGTAATTTAAATACTCTGTTGATCGCTAGTTTTTGTCTGAATATTTGTCATTCCGTTATTCTATAGATACTTTGACGTCTCTGTTTTTCTCAGCTTTCGTCTTGGTTATGTATGATAACATACACATCTCCAACTTTACTCCAATTAA